TTGGACATCGTAATGTACGCTTTGTACACGTCCGTACTGAGTTTGTTGCGGAGGTCAACCCCACCGACGCACTCTTCCCAACGATGCCCGCTGAACTTGTACCATGTAGTGTTGTTTTTCTGGTCTTTTGTACTGACGTAGTCAAACTTGTACATAGAGTACACAACCTGCGCCACGTCATAATGACTGCCAGATAGTGACGTCATCAGAGCGGTTTGTAGGCTGGTCTCGTTGTACTTCTTGTACGCGTCAGGACTGTCCAACTTAGCCCAATAGTGCAGACTGCGGATGGTGTTGCCCGGTTTGAAGTCGTACCACAACTTTTCACATTCGCCAGACTTGTACTTCGATGAGAGTTGGCTGAATGTATCCCAGACTGGCAACAAACTTTCGTCGCCGCTCTTCAAGCTTGAACCGAGTGCAAGCCAGTCAGAGCGGTTGTCCGCACGTGAGGGAGAAAGCATAGCCACAAGCTGTTGTACCTCGCCAAGAAGTACCATGTTACACTTGGGCTTAGTTTCACAAACAACCTTGGCAGCTTCAGCCTTAGCCGCCTTCTTCTCGACAAATTCGGCAACCTCCGCCTTTTTCTCCTCAAGTACAGGCAGGGTGAGCGAAGAATACTTGTTTTGAATCGAAAGGCGGTCAGTCAGATCGGGTAGTTCATCTTCGCAGTCTTCTCTTTCGCCGTCCTGACCCCACAACTTGTACGTGCAAGTGTACGCTGGACCTTTGCCATCTTTAGTACTACCGTACAAGAGCAGCGGGTTCTTCTCGATCACCTGCGAGTCGTACATATCCTCAAAACTGTTGCGGAACGTGACGTCAGCGAAAATGTCGGAGATCGTGCCAGATTTTAACAGGTTTGTACGGATGATGTGCTGGACAGCGGGACACGTGACCAGATCGGGGAAGTGCAGGTGGAAACCGTCTTTATACGGGTGATTCTTGTCCTTCCTCGGGGCAGGCTTCTCGAGTACGTAACACACCAAGGCTCCCTCGTCAAACTTGACGTAATTAGAGGCTTCCTTGGTGACGGCGTCATACAATGCCTTGATGTGGTCGGTAGTGTAAATACGAGTAGCCGAGTCCTGCTTGAGATCGAAATCAATGAATATAGGGGACTGACCCAAGTGCTGTTCAGTTAACGACAGGTGCACCTTCTTCTTGAGAGCCGCGTTGTACAGTGCCATAAACTCATCATATTGTTCAGATTTGATGTAGTAACTTCCCAAGAAATCACCAGCACAACCAGTGTGCGTGAATTCAGATCCTTTTGCCACTTGAAGGGGGGCGAGGAAGTTCAGAAGCTTTGTTGCCATTTTATATACCTGGCGACATTTCTTTAAGTAGTTTTCATTTTGATTGAAAATGAAATGAAAAAAAGGATGTTTTGCGATTAAAGTGCAAACTTGGCTTTTAGGTAACCCAGTGAGAGTCCGACAATTGGAGTTTGCGGACGGATGGTTCGGACAGCCCATGTGGCATAATTCTCCTCAATCTCATGTACAAACCTGCCCTTGTACTTACCCATTGGCCAAATACAATTCGAGGCTTCTGGCACATATTTCGGACGTACATCAATCTCGTCGGGGTTTGTGTCGCGGTCGATTTTCCGCATATACTCACTAATGTTGATCGGACGGCGGGCAATCTGCGCAATCTCCTTCATCCGATTCTCGAACATCCGACGGCCGAAAGCTGCCCGACAGTCGGGACAGTAGCCTATCTCGCTCTTCCTCTGTTTCTCGCCACACTCGTTACAGCGGCGACCGTCGCGCTTTTCGCGGCAGGGGGTACAATAGTTGTCTTTGCGATTCTTGTGCGGCATACGGCAGTCTGAACAGGTCTTACCCTGGTTGTCACGAGGCAGAAATTTTCGGATACAGCAGTTCCCTACCACAAACAGTTTGGGCGGTTTGCATCGCACGTCATCGGGCATATATTCCACGTAGCAGTTCTCTTTGATCCAGTGAGTGCATTCACACTCCTCCACAAAATCAGGCTGATCAGAGGAACTGCCAAACCGTTTCATGAAATAGTCGAACCGACCTTCTTTGTTTCCCCCGGCGTAATAGAAGTAACGGAACGATTTTGCGCCAGTCTTTAAGAAGAGGTTCTCCTTCAAAAGTTGTGCATACACTTGCCCGGGAGACAAAATAGTGCCCGGGGGATCCATACAACGTTGTATGTGTGAACAAAAAAAATGAATTGTCTTTAAGTAGTTTGCCTTTTGTTCAAAAAAGGGAATGTAAATTACTTTTGGGAAGCGGCTGCCTTTGCTGCCCTGCGTTCCTCACGAACCTTCGCTGATCTTTCCTTTGCCTTTTGTTTCTTTTTTTCACGGTATTCGGGGTCTGTCTTATAGCGTTCATTGCTTCGCTTATTGATCTGGTCACGCTCTTCTTTGCTGAGTTTGTGAAAACGCTCGCGAGCGGCAGTCCGAACTTTTTCTGCATACTCTGTGTCTTCCTTGTACTTCTTGGTTTGTTTCGATGCGGTCAGATTCTGTCCGACCTTCTCCATGTGTTCAGCAATTTGGGTCAGCGCAAATGCTTTTATTGTAGCGGTCAACATTTCGATGTCCATTCTTACTATTTATATTAGCTGTCATTTCTTTAAATGGTTTTCTTTTGTCATAAAATTAAAAGTTTTTGGCGCGAGCACTTCACACGTCTGGCTCTGATGCGGATGCTGCTGCCTTCTTTTTAGCGTAGTAATTGTGCATGTAATTCTTGACCCTCGCTCTACAGTCTGGGTCATTATGGTACTTTTCGCGATTCCGAGTTCGCTGCCTTTCGCGCATGATCTCTTTTCTCTCCTCAGGAATATTCTTATAGTAGAACTTGCAACACAAAGCGTGCATAGCTTTGTATTCGTCAATAGAAATATCCTTCGTCTGTTCCATTTAGTTTTAATGAGATAATTTGTGCGGGAAATGAACCACAACTTTATATATCTTCCATATAGTAAAGAGGAAATATGCCAAGGACACGCACGTCAAGAAATGCTGGTAAAGTTATCAATCTCGATGACGAATCGGAACCTTCGAGTGCTGCGGCGGCGGTAGGTAGAGCGACGAGAAGCAAAGCACCCGCACCTGCTCCACCACCAGCACCACCACCTGCTGACCCGAAGGTAAACAAGCCTGCACCTAAACCCAGGAGAGCAAGTAAAGCTTCGAAAGGTAAAGAGAAGGTTGTGACGATTGAGGATACGACTCGGCAGATTGATGCAAACGCCAACTTAGCTCCCGAAACGCAATCAGATTATGTGCGCAAGACTAATTTTATCAGTCGCTGTCTCAAGGAGAAGAACATTCAGAAGCTTGTAAATCAGCCAGACAAGGTGATTGAGTATATACGAAACAGGTACACGAACATGAATTCACGCACTGGTTATGCTACAGCGTTTTGCTCGCTTCTAAAACATACAACTTTGCAGGTGACAGATGCGGTGCAACAGAAGTTCTTTGATTTCATGATGGAATCAGCAAATGCCGTTCAGGAAATTAACAAAGACAACGTGCACAAGGTTGATGAAATCATGCTGAACGGCAAACGGATTGTGTGGAAAGACATTCTTAATCTTGAGGCAAAGATGCGCAAAGAACAATATGCGAGCAAAGACCATCTATTAGTGGCAATGTTTTGCTTAATTAGCCCGAGGCGTTTGCGCGATTATTGCAAGATGGAGGTATTCAAAAGCAAGGCTGAATATGATCGAGCAGGCGATGTCAATAAGATGTGGGTCGATACTCGGAACAAATGTGCTCACATGAGCATCTCTGATTTCAAAACAGCAAAAGATTATGGAACCTACACTGCAAAAATCACTGGAGTCCTATATGAGATCATCAAAACTAGTTTAGCGGAGCACAAGCGTCGTTGGTTATTCCAAAACACAAACGCCGACCCCTATACAAGCGGGACTTTCTCTAAGTTACTAACTGATGCTTTCAAAAAGAACCTACATGTTTCTTGTGGCTGTAATTCAATTCGTCACTTGAAAATTACAGACTTCAACAAGTCTAATCCGTCGCTTAGAGAACGGGAAAAGCTAGCCTTGGAGATGGGGAACTCGGTCCAGATGCAAGGGTACTACAACCAGCCGGACACCGATGCAACCAGAGCTGCAAAAGAGGCAGAGAAGAACGCAAAGTTAGCTGAAATCAAAAAGCTGCGGGAGCAGATTGATTCTAGTATAAAAAAGATTAGTCAGTTGAGCCAGGAACTCGCTGAATTGTAAGCAGTTCTTTGTGAGCTCTTTTCATGTGACGTGGGATAGAACCTTTTCGAAGTTCTTTGTTACACTCTGGGCAATTTGCCAAAGGATTTTTGTGGACAATTTTCAAATGGTTGATGCACGAATCTCTGCGTAGTTCCTTATCACATTCGGGACACTTGACAATTTCTGCTCTTCTTGCTGCTACTCTTTCTTTATTTTTCTCATAATAAGCTTTTCCAGTTGTTTTTGCTTTTTCCAACTGATCTTCCCTGTTTTGTTGATACCATCTTTTCATGTTGGCAGATCTTTTCTCCTTGTTTTCCTCCCGATATTCTTTTTGTGTTCTACCAGGCACAACAATGTTTAATGTAGCATTTAACAGACGAATCCAATAAGCTTCACGCTGCCTCAGTTCATCAATAGAAGTACAAGGGAAGAATTCAACCAGTTCAAGTTTTATCCCTAGCCATTTTGTATCAAGCTGATTGATTGCTTGATATATCAGCCTGTTCATCTTTTCTGGTACTTTAGAAGCCTCTACGTGCCTACTTCTTCGTTGAGACAGAAAGGGTCTGGTCGTGCTTCCAACATAAACTCCGTGACCAGGCACATCAATTCTGTAGATTTTCGACAGCTGATAGTCTGGCATCTTGTCTTTTTATATCTTTTGTTGTCTTCCCTTTAAGTATTAACAAACGCTCACCTTATTTTTTGGTTCTCTTGGGGGTGACCTTAGTTTTCCCCTTGCCCTTGTCTGGGGACACCTCCTTGTCCTCCACGCGAGGCTCGGACGGTCCTGCTTCGTCCTCGAATGTCTCACGAACAGGAGACATCTCCTGCATGCGCTGGTACTCCTCCTCCAAACGGCGGCGCTGGTACTCCTCCTCCTGTGCTGCGGGGTCTTCGATCTCGTCATTCCCTTCCTGCTGAGGTTGGGGGTCAGGGCTCACGCTGCGACGGATTCTGTTTACTGCCCTCTGGAAAATGGTTGGTTGGGGTTCGGGTTCAGGCTGGGGTTCAAGCTGGGGTTCAGGCTGGGGTTGAGGCTGGGGTTGGAGATCGGGCTGGGGTTCCGGAGACGCTGATGCCCTTCCACGTCCACCACGCCCTCCACCCCCGCCTCTGCCGCCACCGCCGCCTGGAGCAGGAGGATTCCCAGGAGCAGGAGGATTTTCGGGAGCAGGAGGATTCTTAGAGGAGCAAAGTGCATTATATAGGGCTTCCAAACCACTTTTTGACAGAAGAAGTGGCTGCTGTTGCAGTCAAAGCTGTACGCCTCAAACTTACGATCACGTTTAGAGATCCACGTGGAGGCATTGCCGACGGTTTCGGTAGTTACGATACTCTACCCGCTGTTACCGTCATAAATTGCAAGAAAGTCCGTCGACGCTCTACCAGTCAACCGAGATTGGATGCCTCCCTTCTGTTACTTTTATTTTTCGCGTAATAGTTGCATATGACTGATTCGGATTCTCAGGTATTGACGTAATAGAGATATTGAGACATAACCAATTATCACTTTCTTTGGTTATGTCATATTTCCAATCAAAAAGAGATAGATCTTCTGAATCGTAGTACACAACCCCAGTCATCGATTTGTGAGATCCGTTATCACTGTTCATATATTCAACCAAATCCCCATAGAGTATTATGAGACGATCGCAATCTACTGAACCCAGAAGTTTTGCTTCGGCATACGCCGTTAAAAGAATAATGTCGCTCATGAGTTTCTCATAATCTATCATTTTTCTATGTAATGAGAAAAAAAAAGAGTAAAGAATCCGCGAAAGATAAAAGGGAGCCGTAGAATATGATGTAATTTAATGTATTATTTCTTATTATTTTTGAGTAAGTGGGGAGAGAGAAGTGGGGAGAGAGAAGTGGGGAGGGAGAAGTGGGGA